CAGATACACACCCGCGTCACTGAATTCGCCCTATAAGGAGTCGGGGAAGATAGAGAGGACGTACAGCGCCTGCGCAGCCCATTCCTTGCCGTATTTGCGGCCGCTCCGCGCAAGCTCGACGAGCGGCCCGATGCCGCCAGCCTCGAAGATGTTGCTCGAGAAGCCCCCGTCGGAGATGTGGGCAAGCGCGTACGCCGCCCACTGCTTCCCCATGCCGCTGCCGAAGCGAGCGAGGTCGACGAGTGGCCTGATGCCGCCGGCCTGAACGATCGCCGCACACGCTTCGGCGCTGTTGGCTGCGCGGTCGCCCAGCTTCTCTGCCGCTGCAACTTGCTTCGCGGTGTCGGTGCAGGTGACACGTTTGATGAGCTCCTCGATGCTCAGAGGCTTCGGCATGCCCGAGCTGCAGGGTAGCAATGCGCGCTCCCCCCGCGCGCTCTCGCGGGCCGCCGCGTTTCGCGTTTTCTTCTCGCCTCCCGACCCAGGGTTTGCATGAGAGGAGCGACGCCAAAGGATTCTTCGGGGTTACCGCACTCGGCTGCATTTTTTATTTTGTATTAGAAAGGGTGTGGTTGCAGCGATGGCATGCCAGGGCAGCGCGCTCGGCAGCCTGCGTGCGGATTCCGCCGAGTGTCTTGTCTTGACAGATTTTTAGAAGCCAACAAGAAATGTGTCTTCTTCTTGTCTTGTGGTTCTATATGTCGCTCCTGTGTGACCGTCATCGCCCGTCCTGCGTCCACCCATACCGCGTTGTCCACCTCGCCCTCACCTCCGCCACCCACCCACCACCAACCTATCCATCTACAACACAACACAATCAAAAATTACAATATACAATTCATATCAAGAATACTCACTCACTCAAAAAACCACTCACATATAATCAAACCACTAAACACACAATAAAAACTCTCTCAATCACTACACCAATCCATCCACAAAAAAAAATACACTTTTTAGCAATATGAGCCACCACTCGGCGGGCTAATACATCATCTGGCCCACAACACGGTGATCCTGGCGCACAGCGCGGGGCGCCATCGAGTGGCTGCCGGTTCGAGATCCTCCCGCGTAACTCAGTTGGTAGAGTGACAGACCCTTAATCTGCTAGTCTTGGGTTCGAGCCCCAACGTGGGAATTCCTCTTTTCCCTCTTTTTCCTTTCGTGCATCCATACCGTGCTGGTGTCCCAGTCGTTATTCTGCTTGCCTCCCCAGCCGTAGGCGAGCTCTCAGCTAGTTAGTATCGCAAAGCGTGGTCCCATCGCTGGTGCGCATACTGATGTCCAACAACACTGTGATCTCGCAACATTGCGCAGGTATATTGTTGGCTAGGACACAGAGCTCACACATTCAGAGAGAGAGAGATACCTAGCAATACAATACCAAACAACTCTAACATCCGCACGTTTGTTCACATCACAGACCTCGTTATTGAGAAGAAAATGCCTCGTGTTTTGTGTTGGTTTGTGGCGCTGTGGCCTGTGCGCTGGTCTATGAGTGGTTGAGGTGCGAGCCCTGGAGGCCCTTCACAGTGGGAGGAAAGCGGTGAGTCGCAATTCCAGGAGTCGTTGTGGCGGGCCACCCTGTCCAGAGCCCGGGAGTTGGATCGACAAGTAGTATCCAGCCCGGGATGGGCGATGGGGTCGTTCGACCGAGTCTGCAACAAAATCTCTCTGCGAGTCTGTGCGGCAGAGGGCGAGGGCGGGGGGCGAGGGCGGAGGGCGGGATGGGCGCGAAGCCGCAAGCGGGAGGGAGCGGACGGGGTGGAACGCACAGATGGGGGATGGCGAAGGCGGAGGGCTGAAAGGTGGGGCGGGGCGGGGGTGAGGGCGAGCGTGGAACAGGGGGGGGCGGCGGAGGCGAGGGGGCGACGGCGCCGCGCGCGCCCAACTCTGCTGGCACACGGCACGCGTCGTCACTCAGCCGCGGAGAACAGGCGGTGCAGCGCGCGAAGCGCGCGCGATCTCGTACTTTTAAGGCTGGATCTGGCCATTCCAAGGGTATACTTGAAGTGCTGCGATCGGGGGTGAGCACTTGGAGCACTTGGAGTGCAGTCGGCAACCTCACATCCAGGGCCGGGGAGCTGAGAAGCGCACCCAGCGGGCCGGATGATCGGTATCGGGTTGCGGGCAAGAGAGCCCTAGCCCTGGGGGTGCGCGTTCGCAGGGAAAGGGCCGTAAAGTAAACACGGGTCTCCGAGGCGCGAGGGTGGACCCGCGTGTTACCGGGTTTCCCCTTAACTTGGTCGGTTTGAGCACTTTACAGCCAACGCCCACAGCAAATCGGTAACACCTGCTCTGCAATAGCGAGTTTTGTGGCTTGTTTGCCACCGTCCTGGCCACGTCGTCCCTCCTCGGCGCGAAGAGGAGCACTCTGACGTGCCGAGGGTTCATTAGTCGGGCGTGGCGGCGGAGCACTCCCGGTTGGCGGCACCACGGTGGGCGGAGGGGGTCCTCTTCACCCCGTGCCCAAGCCGCAAGCGTGGGTGTTCGCGTAAGCCGACTCCGTGGCGTTGGTCCATCCCGCCGCGTGACCAAAGGCGATCGTCCCGGCCGGGAAGAAGAGCACCGCGTCCACTGCCGCCCCGTTACTGCCCAGGTTCTGGTAGGCGCGGAAGGACTTCGGCTCCCCTTCTCGCGGCGCCTCCTGAACGACCATCACCACCCGTCCGCCCGCCTCCGCCGTGGCCACCGCCTTCTTGTACACTCTGGTGAGGGCTCCTCGCCCGTGTTCGTTGACCGTGACCAAGACGTTGTGCGGCCACGGTTGCGACTCCCACCCGTCCGCGGCGACTTCGTCCACCTCCACCCCCCACTCCCCCCCCGACCACGGCCCCCCCCACCACTCTGGGTGCGGTCTCGAAGAGCGTCGACATGGTGAGCGCCGAAGTGAGCGCCTCGCCTCTCAATCCGAACGCGTCTCTCAGCCACGCCCGCAGCTCCGGGACGATTTGTGCCACGATCCGCAGCGGGCCACGACCCCGTTCTCGGACCGCCTCGGAGCACACCCGGACAGCCGCGGCGGGCAATCGCTGCGCCCCGCGCCAAGGCACGTCGCTCTTTCCGGAGTCATGCCGTGACGCAGCCCCCCCGTGTTGACAGTCAGAACCGTGGGATCCTTGCCCACTTCAAAGGCATGGAGCTGGCGCCACACCCCCGCTCCCCGTCTCCCAGCCGCCCCGCCGTCCACCGGGAGCCGGCGATCCGGTGCGAACCACAACGAGTCCGCCATCGCAGCCAGGTGGGCCGACCTCTCCATCGCGACCCCTCCCAGCTCCGTCTTGCACGCAGCGCAGCCATACCGGAAGTGGGCGCGCGTATCCGGGCCACCCTCGCATAGGTGACACGCGGCTCGGGGGCGAGCCCCTTCCAGCCGCACTATCCTCCGGATGGCCTCGGCGTCCGGCCCGCCCTGCGCCTGCAACTCTGATGCCGTGCAGCTCATTCTTCCTAGCGCGGCCCGCATGGCCTCCTCCAAGAGCGGGCCCGGGAGTAACCTGGTTTGTGGAGCTCCCACAGATGACCTAGAGAGCACGGCATTCGGAGCCATGATGTCGGTTCCCCACCGGACTTTTTTTGTAGTGGAGAGAATTAAGGAATCTTTCTGCTGTAACCGACACTGAGATCGCTCTCCTTTAATCAGACCAGATGGTGAGTCTTAACTGCAAATTACCGTCGGAAAGCTGTCAGAACGGCTGTCAGAACACTGTCAGAACACTGTCAGAACGCTGTCAGAACGCTGTCAGAACGCTGTCAGAACACTTTTGTGGGTAGGGTACTGTCAGAACGTTGCCAGCACTGCCCGAGAGCGGGCGAAGTGTGAACATCTGCAAGACGGCTGGTGCGAGCGCCACCGCCTCGCCGATCGCCCCCGCCTTTGCAGGCTCCTTTGCGGGCGCGGCGCCATGCAGGCGGCACGCGGCGCGCCCCTCGCCGGTCTCCCGCACGCTCCTGAGGGCCGAGAGGGCCGAGAGGCGGGGTCGGTGACCCGGGGGCATGGGCGGTGCGGCCCGCGCCGCGCGCGGGCGCGTGGCAGCCCGTGAGTGCCGAGATCGGGTCTGTGCTTCGACGTAGCATGGGCCCCCGGAGGCCCATCTACAGCAGCGGCGAAGTGAGCGTGTTTGTGGTGTTGGTGTGACGTCTGAGCTTGGATCTGTGACTAAAGCCGCTTACCACTGATGGATCCCCACCCGAATAACACACAGTGAGCGCCCCAGCACTTCACTACGCCCTCCGCGCGAAATCGCTAGTGGTGCTTTGTGGCAGCACGTTGTGCTTTGTGGCAGCACGGGTGCGGTGCCCGAGACCGCCGAGACCTCGAGACGTCGACAGAACTCGCCCGCGAGACCCAAAAAATTGGTTTTTAGCGAGGGGTCCCGTACCATGCGGAATCGACCCTATCCAGTGCTCAAGTGCTCAAGGAATTTTCTAAAAAGAAATACCCTCATCGCGCATTCATTCATTGCGGCCGACTCGGGCATGTGGGTGCTGCCTGTTCTCGCTTTCCAGCCTGCTCCACGTGCGTCGTGTGCGGCCGTCGCTTCCGTCCCGCTTCCGTTCCGCGGTGGCGTCGTGCTCGCTCGTTCGCTGCCACTGGAAGTGGAGGAGGTCGTTGCCGCAGCCTTCCGGAAGCAGTATCCGCCAGCCAAGATTGCCGCGCTGTGGACAGAGCTAAAGGCGTGCTTTGGGAGCGAAGAACTGGCACTTCAGGCGGTGCGCGAGAATCCGCAGATCATCAACCCGTCCTATACCGACCCGCCAAAGCTGCTCGCCCGCTCGAAATCATGTCTCGTTGAGATCATGTCAGAGGAGGAGGCGATCGAGGTGATGCTGAAGAACCCAGCGGTGCTGCAGTGTGGGCTCAGCCTCCGCTCGACACAGGCAGACGAGATCAAGAGCTTCGCCAACTTGAGGTATTACGGCGGCCGACTCGTTCCAAATCCAACGGCTGCCCTCGCTGTCGTCGTAGCTGCGCTGTTCTACGTGGTAGCGGGCAGCTATGTCGGGGACGTTGCCGCTCTCGACACGATCAAGCCCGTGCTGGGATTTGTCGGGGCCGGTCTGTTCGGAGCAACCCTGTACGGTGTGGCCAGCTCGAGCCGCAGAAAGTCCTGAGGAAGTGGGACCAGCGGCCGGGCCGGACCGCGGCGCCCTCGGCCGCGCCCCAGGCTCCGGGACGGGGGGGCGAGCGGCGTGGATCGGCTCGCACATGCACATGCGTTTCGACTCTCGGTGGAGAAAGAATAATGGTTGGTAAAAAAGAAGAGTCCACCTTGCTCCTTGAGGCCTGCAGCGCGCGCATGCAGGAGGGAGGAGGGGCCAGAGCGAGAGGCATGTGTACCATGTTTCGCCCCTCTATCTAAAATTCAAAGCTTCCCTTGAGTGTCAGCAGCAGC